CTCGCTCTCCGGGGGGGGGAGGAGACGGACGGAGGCAGGGATGGCGGGAGGCGGGAGGGAGAAGGAAGGGGAGGAGGAGGAGGAGGAGGAGGAGGAGGAGGAGGAGGAGGAGGAGGAGGAGGAGGGTTCAAGAAACCCATGCTGGGCACCAAACCTGGGACGGTCCTAGCGACAGATGCGTTCAACTACGTGTTTTCTCCGATGATTCGGGACCTTCAGGCCAGGCTCACTGATGAGGGGCTCACGTGGAAGCCCGAGTTGGAACCAGGGGCCGTAAGGTTTGCTCAAGAAACGGATCTAGATCAAGCGCATGATACTATCTCTTTTGTCGATGATCTCACTGTGCTCTGTGCCATCGACCAGGCGGCTGACACACGAGCTGCGCTCGTGAAGGCCACCGAACATTTGGCAGAAGTGACGTTTAACAGCGGCTTGCGACTCAACCTGAGCAAGACCGCTGCACTCATTATTCCAGTGGGACCAGGCACCAAAAAGGCACAGCAGGAGTTTGGGGGACCCCAGGGCCGAGAAGTGTACATACCTTCCCTCGATGCGTCTGTTCAAGTCAAGCGAACTGTCAAGGCCCTGGGTACCATGGTAAATGATCGTCTCGACATGTCAGATGAGATAGCCTACAGGATAGCCTCGGTAGCCAGTGAGGCGCGGCCAATTCAGCGTACCCTTGGGCCTCGGAAGAAGCTCCGACTAGACCTCAAAGTCAGATATGTGGAGAGCTTCGCTCCCACGGGGCTTTTTTACAATGCATCCATCTGGAGTCAGCTCAGCACACGGCTCGCCAAAAAACTTCTCAATGCCCAGATAAGGCCCTACAGGGCCGCCCTGGGACTGTCGATCAGCAATTCTGACGTTGGACATATTGCGCACAACGACATTTTGTCACAAGTGCACAGGCTGGAGGCCAAGGATGTGCTTCGGGTGGCACGCCTCAGGTACTTACCCAGGCTGCTGCGTCAGGCACCGCCAGCGCTCAGAGTTGCCATTGAGTTTCTCTTTCAAGAAAACAGCGGTTGGCTGGTGCAGGTGGCAGATGATATCCGATGGATGACTCCGCTTTGCCTCAAAGGGGAGCTGCGGCACCAGGCGTCCTTACTTTGCTGGCTGACGGAGGCCAGGACGGAGCCGCGCACTTTCCTCCGACGACTGGCCAAGGCGGCCGCCAGAGCGCAGCATAATTTTGAAGAAGATTATCGAGCGATGCAGCTTGACAGGCACATCCAGCTCATCCAGAACGAATGGCTCACTGCCCATGAAGAGCCAGAAAACACCGTCACCATGTTTGTGTGTTATGAATGCGGTTTCGCGACAGAGCAGCTCAGGACTTACAACATGCACATGGCGAGGCAACACAAAAAAACATGAGGGACCCGATGTGCTGGGCAGCGGGTACGGAGTGCCAGTGCTGCAGGAAACAATGGCATACCCCCAACCGCCTTCAGGTCCACTTAAGGAGGTCCCACAAGTGCAGGCTGGCTTGGGATCAGGCCGGGTACAAGGCCGGGGAGGAGGAGATGCAAGCTTGGAGGGATGCTGGGAGGGAAGTGCAGAAGAAGAATCGCAGCAAAGGGAAGGGTGACAATTGGGCGGAGTTCCCCCCCGTGCAGCTCTTTGGACCCTCATTTTGTAGAGATGCTCATGTTGGGCCTCAGGAACCCCCCTGCCTCCCTCCCACTGTGTGCGTCCCCATCCTGAGACCTCGTCAGAAGCAAACCCCCATCGATCCAGGACCTAGCACGGAAGGGTTGGAGCCAAGGTCAATTTTCTTGCGCTTGCACACGGGAAACAGGCACGACGATGACTTCATTGGTTCACTTGAGCGAGAATTGGCGGCCAGTGGAAAAAGGGCCAGCATCCTCACCTCAGGGGGTCAAGAAGGGTGGGGACAGCTCGCGCTGCCACACGTGCTCCGCTTTTGGGCCCAGCTCATCCAGGACGGTTTTGTTGGGGGACTTCGGGCTGAGCCCCCCAGAGGCACCTGGCAGGCTAGGGGGGCCCACGCTCGTCTGCCGCGCGATTCCAGCTCTCCTTGGGGAAGGAGAGCGCTCCGTGAGGTCGAGTTCACTCCCGTGCGTGAGGATAGTCGTGCTCTGAGGGCGGTGCTCTGGCTGACGTACGTTTGTCGTGGCGCGAAAGTTTCCTTTGGCATCATGCATGTTCCGTGGGATAACGAAGCCTCGCAACCCACCATTTGGGGACTCAAAGAGGATTGAGGGTTGTAGATTGGATTGCGACGGAAGTAGCATTCTCTTGTCTGGTGTGCATGCTTCTATCCCTCAGGTGTCCACTCTCACGCCTCTTGCTTGCGTGGCCCAGCAATTCGCCGCTCTCATCCACTCATCGAATCACCATGACCTAGCACCTGAGCTCACTGAGCTGGAGCTCAAGCTGGACCCTTACGGTTTGGAACCTCTGGGGGGTGAGGGAGTGGAGGGGCACGACCTGCCAGCGTAGGGCGTGGTGCGGCCAGTTTTTTTAATCCCCTGTACTGCCTCTGCCTGCTGCCCTCTCTCTACTTAATACACTGTGATAGGCTGCGTGACTCAGAGGCCTTCATCGACCGACCGACCGACCGACCGACCGAGGAGGAGGAGGAGGAGGAGGAGGAGGAGGAGGAGGAGGCGGAGGAGGAGGAGGAGAAGGCGGTGAGGAGGAGGAGGAGGAGGAGGAGGAGGAGGAGGCGGGAGGAGGAGGAGGAGAGGAGGAGGAGGAGGAGGAGGAGGAGGAGAAGAAGGAGGAGGAGGAGGAAGAGGAGGAGGAGGAGGAGGCGGGGAGGAGGAGGAGGAGGAGGAGGAGGGGGAGGAGGGGGAGGAAAAGTAGGGGGAGAAGGCAGGCAGGATGTGGGGAAAGGGAGGAAGCGGAGAGGAAAGCGAAGGAGGGGCAACGGGAAGAGGGGGAGGGGGATGAAAGGGTGGGGTGGGTCGGACGGGGAGGGGGGGACCGGGACTGGAGAACAGGACTGGGGAATGGTGTAACGGTTGGCCACTGGTTCGTGCATGGGGCAGACATTGGTTACACATAACCCTCCACCAGCCCTCCTCCCCCACCCACCAAACCTCCAAACCACAAAACAAGACGTGACAAGCACGCTCGAGCCTGAATCTCGCAGTCAACAGACACATCGAGAGCGATGAAACGGCCAACCGGGGACTGCACGACGATCCCGCCGACGCTACGCCCGAACACGAAGGGATGTGTTGAACGAGCGGCGCGCGGCCGATGGACGGACGTCACAAGGGCTCAGCACTTGCAGTAAGAACGAGCATACACCAACAGCCGAGCAGCAGGAGAGGTTGGGGGTGAGAGCGCAAATGAACGATAGACGTGTGTATATATATATACATTCACGTACATCTAGATCTAGCGAGAAGAAGAGAGAGAGAGAGAGAGAGAGAGAGAGAAACCAAAGAGAGAGAGAGAGATGGGGGAAACATGAGGAGAGAGCACGAGAGAACATAAGAGCGATAGGGCGAAAAAGCGAGGGAGCGAGAGAAAACGAGAGAGCGAGAGAGCGAGAGAGAGAGAGAGGGACAGGGAGAGGGAGAGAGAGACACAGAGAGTGCAGACAGACAGACAGACAGACAGACAGACAGACAGACAGGCAGGCAGACAGAAAGACAGACAGACATACAGACAGACAGACAGGCAGGCAGACAGAGAAAGAGAGAGAGAGAGGGAGAAACAACCAACGAGAAAGAGAAAAGGAGAGGGAGAAGTGGCACATGAGCGGGGGAAGACACAACGCCAACCCGCTCCGTGACAACTCACGCGCGCAGATCCCCGCGGGCGCCACGTAGTTTTTACGGGGCTGGCAGAGTGCCAGCGAGGGGGTGGGGCATGCAGCAGTCACGAGCGAGGCTAAACTGTTGCAGCGAAACGTGCGCGGCCAAGCAGAAGCTGGGACATATTAGGAATTGTCGGGAGAGTAGGTCTTAGCCGTAATCACGGTATGAGACTAAACAACCATACTAAAGTACCATACTACAATACCAGACTAAAGTACCAGACTGAAGTACCAGACGAATGTAACTGACTAAAGCATAAACGAATCTGACCAAAATACCAGACTAACGTACCAGACTGGCATACCTTGGTCTGGCATACCAATATGGTACTTTAGTTTGATACCGCCGCTAGTCTGGTACTTTAGTCTGGCACCGCTAGTCTGGTACTGCTAGTCTGGTACTTTGGTCTGGTATTGTAGTGTGGTACTTTAGTTTGGTACCGCTAATCTGGATATTTAATCTGGTACTTTGGCCTGGTATTTTAATATGGTACCGCTAGTCTGGTACCGCTAGTCTGGAACTTCAATCTGGTACCGCAAATATGTTACTTTAGTCTGGTACCGCTAATATGGTACCGCTAGTCTGGTACATTCATATGGTACGTTAGCCTTGTACGTTAGTCTGGTACCGCTAGTCTACTCCCGCTAGGCTGGTGCCGCTACTCTGGTACTGCTAGTCTGGTACGTTAGCCATGTAGTTTGTCTGGTACGTTGTTCCCCAACCCTCCTTGGTTGAGTATTCGTTTTGAATAGAGCACCTCGGTCGCGCCTTCTCCTCCTCCCGCCTCCTCCCGCCTCCTGCTCTCTATTCGCCGTCGCTGGGGGGCTGTGATCTGCGAAACTGTCGCCACATTCGAGGGCTGCCCGTGGGTCCAGCTGAGTGAGGCACCGCGCAGATCTGAGCGGGACCTCGCCGTCCCTGGAGGGGTGCAATCTGCGAAACTGTCGCCACTTTCGAGGGCTGCTGGTGGGCCCAGCGGAGTGAGACACCGCGCAGATCTGAGCGGGACCTCGCCGTCCCTGGGGGGGTGCGATCTGCGAAACCGTCGCCACTTGCGAAGGCTGCTGGTGGTTCCAGCGGAGTGAGGCACCGCGCAGATCTGAGCGGGACCTCGCCGTCCCTGGGGGGATGCGATCTGCGAAACTGTCGCCACATTCGAGCGTTGCTTGTGGGTCCAGCAGAATGAGGCACCTGCAGATC